GAAGTTGTGGATCCAGTAGCAGACAGCTGTGGTGACATTGAGCTGCCGCAGTTCATCTAGTAGAAGGTCAGGAATGATGACGTTAAAAGCAGAGCTAAAGTCTACAAACAGCACACGGGCATTAGTTTCAGTGAACTGCCTAGTCAGGCATGCCAAACTGGGGACCTTCTGGGCCAAAGAGCTGCAGAGATTAGCGTTTACCCTCAACTAACGCCCTGAATTCAGTTCATGAAGGCCTTCCGAATTAGCTGATGAGCTGAGTCATGTGTGTTTATTGAAGCAGTGTGCTGAAGTCTGTAGTGTTGTGGGCTGTGAGGATTGGAGCCTGACACATGTGGCCTAGGTCAGTCAGAAGCAACCAGACACTCATGTGCTGTGATATCACAACCATATCTAACTGGCAGTCTGGCCCACTGATCAGTGTTTAAGCCTCAAGCTAGAAAAAAGTGGATGTTCTGCTCTTTGTGGCCAAAAAAACAGGAGCTTAATTTGTAGAAAAAAAACCGCAATTTAAATCTCAGTCACAGCACAGAAAAATCGAAATGGGATATTTCCTAAAATCATCCAGCCCTACTGGACCGTGTGAGGTGATGGTCAAGACCGGAGGGGGACCTACAACATACTGATAAACACTCTTGGTTCTCTGTTTCCTGTGTTTGCATTCAGCTTTTGTTGTGTATCAGTGGTCATTGCCGAAAATGTTTGAGCAGCTCTTTTTGACTGCCAGTGCACAAACAATCCGGCCTGGCATTTGTACTTCAGAACAAAGAATGTAGCAATTTCAGTGGAAAGTGAACTGGAGAAAAGGACCTTAGGGCTCATTGATGTTTTATTTGTTGTGTCCGTTTGTAAAGAAAAGACACCGAAGCCAGGTCGGGCTCGCTGAGTTTCCCAACCTCGCTGCCTGAGCAGGAGCCACAGGCTCAGCGTAGCAAAAGTACAGCTGGAGCTCAAGCCATCAGCAGTCCTGGATCAAATGATAGTGGGGGCGGTGGAGTGGTGGGAATCACATCCGTATACTCCTGCCCAACACTCCTGTCTCTAATAGACTTCCAAGGGGGTTTTTTATTGGGCCTGTTTGTGGGGTGGTTGCGTTTGATGTTTCTGTGTTTTGGCCATGCTCGCGCTTTCTCCAGCCAGGAAGGACAGGCTCCTGCTGCTCTTTTCCGCTTCCTCCGTAAACATTTGTGACTCTTCTCTTTCTTGTGTGCTGCAGAAGTGTCTTTCTCCTCCTGCTGAGAAGTCTGGCTGCTCTGTGCCGCATCTGTGCTATGACATACTGTATGCTTGAAGGGACATGTGCTGCTGAAAATCATGTTTTCATGTTGTTCCAGTTTCCTTTTGGGCTAACTAAGCGTACAAGTGTGGTTGAAAATGGCTTGCGATGTAGTCGTTGTCCTATCAAAACTGTTATTTTTTTGCACCATTTGAAAATACCAGCTGCTGTTTCCAAGTGAACGTTTTATGATGAATAAACCAAAAAGAAATGGTTCAAAATTGCTTATGATTTATATAATATAATTTAGGAACTTTTTTCCTTCTCTTGTAAAGTTACATTTGGGGATACATGAGTTTTGTATTGGCTGAGGTCATGCTAACCGGTCTTCGCTAGCTTTCATTCATGGTTAGCCGCATTAGCATTTTTGGTTGTTGAGTCTGAAAGATAACTACCGTGTTGGGATCTCCAAAAATTGTCATTTTCTGCAAGTGTTTATATGGATGTGGGATTTCACTGTGGGAACGCAGTTTTCCTGCTCATCTTCAAATTGGCGTAGCGGCGGTCGGATTCCCCAGCAAGCTGCGCCCTGGACTCGTCCAGTCACAGCGTTCTCGCATGTGGCTTTAATTTGCTCCTCCCCGAGGTGTCTCTTTCTATCACCCGTGTGGTTTTGGCACCGAGAGCATTAACGTAATGAGATATTGACCGAACAAAAAGGATTACTGTCGCTTTAAATCAAGCCCAAGTGATTGTGGTGTGCCTCGAGAAAGTGGAGCTGATGCCTCAGGGCGAATGAAGAGAGCAGAATGTATATGGTCAATAAAGACTTTTAACGCTTTGCTTTTTCCACGCTACGTCGTCTGGCCTCACCTTTCACCTCCCACTGTCTTGAACTTCCAGTAATTGCTGACCTCAGTTTCAGAACAATCCTGTTTTATTTGGTACAGATGGGTTTTTCCTCTGAGCCATGAATTGGAATCTCTGAAATAGCTCTTAAAACGAACAAAAAACCGAAAGCAAATAAACTGTGAGAGCACTTGCGGTACGCAGTATGGTATTCCACAGGAAGATGAGTACTGTGTCTGATATTGTCTTCGTGAGACACTGTTTGGGCAGCAGGAAAAAACTTCTGCTGGGAGACCACATTGATTTTACTGCAGAATGTGTGAGTGAAGTGTATGTGTGTGAAAGAGCAGCGTTTATATATGTATTTGTGCACGTATGGGTTGCAGGGGTCGCTACAGTGAGCCAGAAGTCTCAGAAGCAAGTCAGGCCTGTGTAGCAGCTTTGAAAATGGGGATGGAAATAAAAAGTGAATGCTTTCCGAAGTGCATGAGCAAAATGAGTTCAAGACTATCCCCTTATCCAGCAGGACTTATTCAGGACCTCCATTTACAGCACATTGTTCCTTCAGCCGAACATCTCAGTTGCAGCCAGGGGAGCTCAGAAGCAAATGGGGTGTCTTCATCATCCAGTCATTTTCTCTCTCTCTCTTTCGTTCAATCTGTACGTCTGTCCTTTTCTTCTTGCTCTTCAGTCATTCTCAACTCTTCTCTCCTTGAAACAACTCCATTCAAATTTCTCTGGAAAAAGTAACGTTTCTTATTTTACTCAAAAAATTAATTCTTTACAAAATACTAATTAAACTTCTCTCAAAATGTAATGGGATAACTTATTAAGCCCTGGTAAAACCTCACTGCTGTTGACTTTAGATCTGTTACTTTCTAAAAATCTATATAAATCTGTATCAACTTGAATGTACAAGAGCAAACCTAGTAGTGCTTTTCAGTACTTCATTTAGCTTCATTTGCTTTAACTAGCAAATCAATTTCAACAAAAACAAATGAATTAAACAGCATTTAAAAGACATTTGAGTCCCTGCCTTGGAACAAGAAACAGTTATGCTTGATTGAAAGTATGAATGGCTAATGCTGTTTGAAAACAGAGAAACTGGCCAGTAGAAACAGTCCAAAAACAGCTTTCCCAAAATATTTCTTTGTGAATAAAATGAGCTGTTTCTGAATGAAGATCATGTCTGTTCTGTTTAGATGAAGTTAGAGCTCTCTTTTTCAGCAGGAAATCATTATTCATCAGTTTCATGTTAGTGTGATTAGATACTTCCGCAGCCTAAACTGTTCACACCATTGTGGCCGAATTATGAAACATGAATTTAAAGAAAAAGATTTTTATTGTTTCTTTTTTTACTATAAAATCTACTGCAAGATAAAAATACCTGTTTTGCCTAAGCTTATCCTCAATACTTTATTCAAATGAAAACAGATTTTTCACTACCAGAACTTCCTCAGTTGTGGTATATTTATTTTACTCCACTCACACATGAAGGGTGTGAGTGGAGGGTATTGAATACAGTGGTGGTTGTGCTGGATTAGTGTGATACAATATTACATATCGAAAATAGGAGGCGTATCTGTCATATTTCTCAGAATTATAAGTTCTGACTTTTACCCTAATAAGAGCAAATGAACAATGACAAAAACATATAACGCAAGTTCTTTTTAAGTCAGTAACTGTCATTTGATTGTAATAATTTATAGTGTAATGAATTACACTACTTTGATACAGGAAAAAGTAATCGCATTACTGTACTTTGTACTGTGTTATACCCAACACTGCCTGCTGGACAGTGTTGTTTTCCATTGTATTAATTTGTGTTTGCCATGACACTCAGTTTGCTCCTGAGCATCCCTGGCTGTAAGATTAACTCTGATACTTACAACTTGGCCCTTTTTTTGATAATTCGAGTAAACCGTTTCCAGCAAAAGTGACATGTCTTTCCTGATGTGTGTAATGGCTCAGGATTGAGTCGCCTGTATGAATGCTCTCGGGAGCATGCTGAGAGTGTATGACTCACTGGGGCTCAGTCTGGTCTCAACAGTTGTAGCAATAAAGCTCTTAACTGAGATTCTGCAACTGCACATGATGCTCTATTATGGTCCACAGCAACACACTTGTGTACCCTGTGTAGGAAGTGGAAAGTCAAAGGAAAGTAAGTGGAAAAACAGGAGCTTCCAAAACTGTAAAGACAAAGAGAAAATGGGACTCCTAACAATCGTTTGTTCAAATGAAAACAGATCTATCCCAACCAAAACTCCATCAGTTCTGGTATACTTATTTTACCAAAACAGTCCTCGTCAGGTAAACAGCACTTAAAGCTTTCATCTTTGAGAGAGAGGAGAAAATCAAGCTGCTTCAGATCTGAAAACATCCACAGGTGTTTCTGTCCATCCTTCCACTGTGAGAAGACGACTCAGCGCTATGGGTCTGAAAGGATGTGTAGCTGTCAAGAAGCCTCACTGAGAAAAGGAGACGGACAAAGAACGTCATGTGACAATGATAAGAAGACGCTGCTTGTGTTCTCAGAACAATAGACTGACCAACTTACAGTTGTTTTTGGGATAACTTGGGTCATGTGACAGAAAATGCAACCAATTTCTAAGACAGAACTTTGGAGATGTGGAAAAATATCTGTGCAGATTTCTTTGAAAACTGACAGTCTCTGGAAACCAATGGAAGCTGATATTAGTGATGTTATTGATTAATTGGTGTTATTTCAAGTTGTTGAGGTGTGTGCATAATTTTCTGTTAAATGTTTTCTGCTTTTTTTTTTTTCCTTCCAAAAAATGAATCTTATACCTAGTGACCGTTTTGACTGGAAATTAAATAAATGAACAATGTTCTCTTTTTCGTTTACTTTTTCACATGTAGAAATCTCGCATCTCACTTACTGCTTCTGCATTTATTTTTCTCTCCTGTTCTCCAGGACTCTCTCAAGCAGAAGGATGAGCGTATCGAGGAACTGGAGGAGGCGCTGCGTGAGAGTGTTCAGATCACTGCAGAGAGAGAAATGGTGCTTGCGCAAGAGGAGGCTGCACGCACACATGCCGAGAAACAGGTCAGAATACCACACTGATACAAATCACATACGGTGAATTATGATAATCAGTAGCGTCACAATCATTTAAAACCACAATCTGCAGTACACTGTAGTGCCACCTATCAAACAAAGCCTTCAGAGATTGATGTTGCCCCTCATCCAACACCCCAAGTTCAGCTCGTGTAGACAGTGCTAGTTATCTGATCAGCTGAATCTGATGAGCTCAAATTGAACCAAATGATAAATTCTGCAATGCTGTGGCCTCCAGGATAGGAATATGTAGGGCCCTCCAGAAGTGACCGTTCAGAGAATTCTGAGAAGTCCCTCCTCCTTTAGTTACTGTTATGTTTGTCAAACTTTTATCCAAGTCTGTTTGATGGCATCTGTAGTACTTGTGCTAAAAGACATAAAAGCTCAGTAGTGAAAAAGAAATGAAAAGGAAATTTGAAACATTTTATTATAAACTAGATTTACAAGATGTTCAGTACAGAGAATTGACAAAATATGGATGTATGAAATAACAACAAAAGAATTCTGGAAACATGTTTACATTAATTAAACTAGAAATCTTATAGCGACATTAAAGCTCCAGGTTTTCATGTGGTTTGAACTGACACAGCTGCCCTTTCAGATGGGCTCAAACTAAAGTTAACCCAAAGTCATGCATTAACATTTGCCTCTACATAGAATGTTTTTAAAACTGTATTAAAACTGTTTATAAGCTAACTTGGGTAATTGAACTGATTTTAACATTGTTCTATTACATTATTTGTAATTAGACATCATATTGAAATTAACTTTAGCAAATACAGTAACTTTAGATCAAATTTAGCTTACCTTAGAGCTGTGTGTTCTAGCAATATTAACTAAGTTTTGTCTTCCACATAGTTTGATCCAAAACTTTTTCAGATTCAGTAATGAAATAAAAAACAGCACCGACCTCCAGATCATTAGGTTAGCGTGTCAGGTGTTATATCGCTGTTGTCGTAAGAAAACTTTGTATCTCCAAAATGGTAACTTTACAGGAGAGGGAAAAAAACGACTTTTAATGTAAGTCAATGAAACCAGGCTTTTTTCCAAGTCATTTTGGGCCGTTTCTTTTAGTCCATTCTTCATGAAATTTACACAGAATGTAAAGGGCAACAGCATTTTTAAATTATCTCAAAAACTGAAAAACGTCAAAAATGGAGATACAAGGTTTTCTTCTGACAGCAGCGATATGTTCCTTTGGACCATTTCTTAGTCTTGTAATTACAACTAATTTACTGCCACTGCCATTCTCGCTGCAGGTTTTTTCTAAAGAGTTTCTGATGAGTTTTTCCTTTGCACGATAGAAGAAGTAGAGGCAGTTATTGGCTGAAAGGCATGTCAGTTATTACTTAGCAAAATGATCAGTTATCTCTAAGTCAGAAAAAGTCACTGAATTTCAGCGATCATGTGGAGGGTTTTTCTTACATAAAACTGCAAAGCTGGAAACAATCTTTGTAACTTTTCCTCTCCCAAGCTCCTCCCACTCTTCTAAATATTGAATGCTCCCTGACCCAAGTTGTCGAGTGTGTGGTTGCCATATGTGGGGGCCTACATCATGCATTTTGATTTAAGAAAAGTAGAAAATAACTTTTTGCTTGGATGCTGTCAGCCCTCACCTGGAACTACCCCCTTTTTGTGCATGCTAGAATAGACGCTTCCAGTCTTGATTGCAAATAAATCCATTGAGGTTTTTTGCCCTTACACACAAGACCAGCACCTCCAAGGCTGGTAGCGTAATGGCTGCCCTGTCAAAGCACATCATCGCGCCAGCACTCAGCCTCATGCCAAGTGCCCAGCGCTATGCCAACCCCACATCACCCTGCCAACATGGGGCCGGAGGAGAACGTTCATGTGGCATGCGCCTGGTGTGTGTTTGCGTCTCCAGTCAGTCTTCATTTGGAAAATAAATAACTTCTGCGTTGCCTGTGTGGAGAAATAAGAACCTTGTTCTGATTTAGTCCAGCCACATGGAATACACACATGCGCACATATGCGCACACACACACACACACACACACACACACACACACACACACACTCATGCGGAATGTCTCATTTGTGTACAGCTCAGGCCGGTTTTGTGTTTGTACACCATTAAAGGGGATTAAACCACAATGCAGCTGTGTGCGCAGCCTGACCCACAGTGCTGGAGATAGCATCAAACTCAAATAGCCCTCAATGAATAAGTCTTCCCTCCGCTGGACAGTACAAACAGCCAGTCAGTCAGTCTGCATTTAAATGGAGCACACAAGCCACTGCCTATTTCCCCCCCTGTACCTGGAACCCTACTCCCTTTCTCTTTTCTTTCCTTCTCTTTTCATCACACTCGAGCCAAACTCTCCTCTCTGGGCCCATTCTTAATGGTTTATCCTGTCCCATATAGAAACTTACCTCTTTCCCTCTCTCTCTCTTTCTTTCTTACTTTCTTTCTTCCTCCATCTCAGAAAAAAATGCCCTGCATGGCTGGCTGAGTTTCAGCCTGCAGAGGGTCTAAGGCTCATGAACATGTCATGGTCTGAGTCCCCCTTTTCTCCTGGCTCGGGCTGGGTGGACCTCAGCTCGGATCCCCATGAGGTTAATTAGTGCTGGGCTTTAGTGGGAGCCAGTGCTGCCGCTAAGCCCTGTTGGCTCCTCTGCAAGTTCAGGGAGGAAGTGGTGGACGGGTTGAGTGCCACCCTCTGGAGCACTGTTCCTAAGCTCCTCCATCACTGAGCTTCAGGCTGGCCCAGTCTCCATACTCATTACTGCAGCCACACCTGTGCTAGGTCCAGGGATGCATAGCCCTAAGCAGACGCAGGAAGTCTATCCCTGGAGTTAGAGCTGAAGGGTTCTGATCCAAACTGCTTGGTACATTTTGTCACTTTTTTGGTAGTGTCTTCTTTTACAGGCCCCTTTATATATTAACAAGGTAAATGTGGGGTACAAACTCCAAAGTACTAGGAAGACAGTTTTAACAAATTACACTGAGACACCCAACTGGTTGTACATATTAAGCTAAAAAAGGACATACTGTTGAATAATTCTTTGTAGTAATAATGCGGTAAGTACAAACATACTCTCATTGATCTCATATATTTCAGCGGGACAGCAAATTAGGAAAAAAAAATCAGGAATTAAGGTGTAAGGACCCAGTAAAATCATAGTGAGTGCATTCCTTTTACCCCTAATAACACACTTCTGCACATTTCAAATGGAGTTATGAAATAACTGATTTGAGGGGACAACCATGCCTGAAACCTCTCCACCTTCAAATCTGACGACCTAAAAATGTCTACCTTCTGTTTCCCATGATGTTAAAGTTTTCATAGTTCCCTCCACTACTTCATCTGCTCCCTGTTCCTCAGTCCTATGTCACTCCTACCACCACCTTCTAGCTCCAAGCAGAAGCCGCCCAAGTTCTCTCTCCTCGCTCATCGGTCTCCTCTCATACCACCACCATAAGACACCGTCCGAACTGAGACATGTACAATTACTGTTTATTCTCTGGATTTAAATGTAGCATATTGGGCGAAATATAAAACACAAAATGTAGCCTGTGCTAACTGTTTTCAAAATGTTAAACTCAGCAAATAAATAGAAATTGTGCACTAAAATTTGTAATGGTCGTGCGACCGTCTAAGCGTTGGCCCTATCATCAGGACATCGCGAGTTTGATCCCTGGTGATGCTACGGCCATCTGTGGCTGGGAGTCCAAGAGAGCATAACTGGCTTCACTTATTGTAATAGCCCATAATTATTTGGAATACAGTGTCAATTCCTCTCATCTCTAATAATGTTACAAACAACTGTGATGAAATTTTGAGCACTACAATGTGTGTTGCAAAGAAGATCTTTTCGTCATTGACTGTTTTCTTGGTTGTAAAGTTTAAATGCCTGTTCACTTGAGTGACTGCGTTGACTCCATACAGTACATAATGTAAGTAGATGTACATGTACATACATTCTGACACCACTTACACTTAGTCTTTAATTAATTTGCCTAATTAAATAAAAATCTTTCTTTCTCTCTTTCTAACCCTTACAGCACACACATTCACATTCCGTCATCGTTCTGTGTTGCCTCTTCACACTCTTTCCCTTGCGTGTACGTGCACACACACAGTTTAGCTCTGCTTTCAATTTCCTCTAATTGCAGTTCTCTTGTTGTTCAGATTTTGTAGCACACGTGTTGGATTGAGTTCAGTCTCTGTACAAATTGCTGTCAGTCTTTTGGTCTTAAAAGTAAGGAGAGGAGTGTGACTGTTCTTTATTAGCTTGACGGGAGAGAGTTGCCCTGACCTTCATGCCCTTTCAAACTATGTGCATCTACAGTATATAGGACAGTTTGTTGTGCATGTTTGGTTGAGTTGTATGCCCTTACTTTTAGTCAGGGTATGGTAGTTTGTGTTATTAGTGATGGTGTGTGATCTTTAAAGGAATACTCAACCTTGTTTTTCAACATAATATTAGTCTGCTGCATCTGTAACATAAGGTTTATTACAACTCTCATTAATTTCCATGTTTCCCTGTAGTGAACAGAAGACCCCTTAACCTTAAAGCCCTTACAGTAGAAGAAAATGGGAAGCTGCATTTAGAAAAGAGTCAGAAAACAAAGGTTTTTTATTTTACACTTCACTTAGACAGAAGAAAGCAAGAACTACAAAACAAGGTTTTTTGACAAGGAACATTGTCGTGAAGAGAAGTGCATTCAAGCTAAACATCCAGTGACGTATTACACTACAGATTTTTACCATATGTTACCTTCTTTTTCTTTTTCTATCTTTGCTGATTAGATGCCCTAGCTAACGTGCATTCATAAGAGGCAGTTTTTTTGAGTAAACAAATCCACCCATTCTTTCAGGTCAGGTATTTTAAATGATTCCCATGGTCTCAAAAATGTCCTTGTAACCGATATCAGGCCTGTATTTACAATCCTGAATTCACTCTTGGTTAAATACATCACACTTTCTGTTGCCCACTAAATACAGCTGTGGGCAAACTGGCAAGAC